CGGTTAAACATGCATATGGTCAAAGACAATGTCTCTTGCCTTTAGACTTGGGGAGCAGCATTTGGCCTGAGATGTTTTCTTATTACTGTCTGAATACTCCATTGGTCTGGACTCAAAGAACCCCTCCGGGCTGCCCTCCACTATGCAAAACAAAGCTCAAACTGATGAAAAATGAAAGAAGACAAACTCTGCAAAGTTGAAGTTGTGTGCTTATGTGGAAAAATGGATACTGTAAAAAATGTAATTATTAAAAAAAACAAAACAAAAAAACAATAAAACAAATAAAATAAAATGCTAATAATAAACTGATGACACACTAAACAATTTTCCCTTTCAGTCCATTCCCTGTTAATAATTTAGCATATTCTGGGTTTATGCAGTTCATGATAATATAAAAAAATTGGCAACAATTTATTTAAGGACATTTTCATTTCCTTTGTACAATCAACCATTTTGATACTATGTTGAACTGCCTCGATGTCTTAAAAACGGACAAAAAGTAAATAAAGTTAAGAACCACTATTTAACAGACTTAAGCAGTAAGAGACTTATTTTGTTCGATCCTTAATGTTACAGTTTCTTTTAAATAAAAAAGTGTATCCATCCACTTCTATCATGTCAGAAATGATTCAAGGCAAAATACATTGTAATCAAATGCAAATGAATATGCAGTTGAAATATGCAGTTGAAATATGCCCAAAGCGGGATCTCTGAAAATGTCTTTTATATTCACATACAAGTCATTAGACAGTTTTATTAACCTTTAACTTCCACTGAGTGTTACTTTAACCCTATTGTAGATCAATCAAAACCATTACATTTACATGCAGTAGGTTTTACACAAGTTGTTTACATGTTGATGCCTTTTTGAAAGAGCAAAAACATTTTTCAACAAGCTGAAATTAACTAAATGACTATATTTGTGTTGTAAAAATAGGTTTTAAGATCCATCGAATTGTACTTCTGAGACACTTTACATTAATACTACAGAGTAATAACAATGTATTAAATGCACCTTGATACATTTATGCTGTATACTTGAGTTACTGTTAGGATGCAATGTTGCTCAGGGAGAAGGTTTATCTGTATTCAAGTGTATGTAATAAATATGTATGTTCTGTTAGCAGTTCACATGTGCCTTCACTGCCTTACAAAATAGTAAACTTGCAGTTAATATGTATAAAAATGGCAAATAAATCACTTTCTTAAATAATTGCTTAGGTTTGCAACGCTTTACCGGTTTTTCAGCTACTGGCAAACCCAATGCCCTGTCAGACCATTTTGGGATCCAATATACAATGTACCAGTTACGTAATTTGTTGGTACTCTTTGGTCATTTCATGACTTACTAATTGACAGCATAACCACGAGGTCTCTATGGTTGGCAACTTCAGCAAAGGAAATAACATGCAATAACAAGTGATATGGACATTTTCCATTTACATTACAACCATATCCCTTTATATGATATATAATTAAAATGAAATATCAGCAATCCGATATTGTTACAGTTTTCTATTACACATGTTTATGAGGTCAGATGACTTTATGTGTTGCGTCACCAACACCATAAAAGGGCAGCTACATCATCATATCCCCAGTTCCCAGTCAGTCATGTTCGATATTACGTCAGAACTGACTGACTAATGAGATCTCGTCTGAGACTCCAATCACCTTTGAGTGGTAACAAAACAAGCCAATGCACATAGGCAAATGAGATTTGCATCGCAAGCCACTCCCCATACATACGGGTAGAAAAGGCAGCGTGCAACATTCACGCATTTACTTTCGCTTTGGAGTTGAGCGGCCATCATTCACTCTGCTCTGATAATGAAACCTTTAGCATATGTTCTGCCGGGAAGACTCAATTGTTACGTCACTTATTACCTTCTCATCTATCCAATCGTGTTCTAATACTTGTGGTATAAAAGAGGTACTTACACATGTCTGAGTTCGCAGATGCTGACGCTTCCATTCACCTCCATCCTCCCCACCACCACCATGATGGTTCTTTCCCCTCCATCCTCCCCCACCACCACCAGGACGGTCCCTTCCCATACCTCATAGGGGGTCGGCTGTGCCCCTGCCTTCGTCTTCAGTTCATGGGTCGAGTTCAGACCCTCGGATTGCGAGCTACGGACGGGGCCTACGCCAAAGAACTTTATATCATAATATTGGTTGCTGGGCTGTTAATAAATGGTTAATTGTTACAGTATTATTCTGCCGAGTCTTTCTGGTAGAAATCGTTGTTTTTGTGTGTGAAGATCAAGAGGGAAGCAGTTCTGGTGTGTTGGCATGATGGTACATTCAATGGTGCATTCACAAATTGTCAATTCCCCTTGGCGCTTTAGCATTAAAATAGCTTTTTCCCCCCTAAAAGAGTAAACACGGGTGTGAAATTGCGTCTCTTTTAAGATGTCATTCCACCCCTGTGTTTCTGTATGTGGTTGTTTCCTGGTCCCGTCTGACAGCCACGATTACTGCCTCGCATGTCCGGGCCCTAAGCATCTTGAGGTAGCATTAGTTGATGAGTCATTTACACATTGCGGAAAGATGATACTTGGCGATGTTGAGATCGAGACTCCCAATACCTTGAAAAAGGTGGAGTCCACTCTGCTATTCCCCGATCTGGTTTCTCTATTCCCTCCACTTCGGTTAATACACAGGGTGATCTGAGGGTTATAGCCGGAGCTCTGCTGCCGGGCCAGTCCCCGCCACCCTCCCAATCCTCTGTCGCATCACAGGCTGTGGAGCTTCTGGGCGAGGCTGCTGGTCCTTCCCATGAGCGACCTAGCATCTCACCTAGCTCCCGTGGAGGACCGGATGTCGATCGCTGCATTGGAGGGCAGGCTTGAGTCCTCTGGGAATGAAGACTCGGCTGCAATGTTTGACACAGAGTTGACTGCAATGCTTTTCCGGACCACTGCTAGCATCAGGCTCGAGTGGAACCCTCTATCTTGTCCCGAACACTCACTGTTGGATGATTGTTTTTTTGGCACAGGGCATGCTGAACAGTAGCGTCTCGCCCCAGTTCCTTTCTTCCTGGAGGTGCATGAGGAGGTCAAAAAGTCGTGGAAGGCACCTTTTTCTGCCCGAAGCCACTTCACTGCCTTCACTGTTCTCACTGCACTCGACAGTGCGGCAGCCAAGGGGTACTTGGAGATCCGTAACTTGGAGAGCCCCCAGATGGAGAGTGCAGTTGCAGTGCATTCATAATGCCCGAAAAGTGATGCCACCAGCTTACAGTGCTGCTGGAGAGGCTACCTCCGCCCTGCATGCTATGGCCCTCCTGCAAGTATACCAGGCCAAAGCGCTCAAAGAGCTGCATGAGGGAAGTTCTGACCCAAGGTTGATTCAGGAACTGCGGACAGTGACGGACCTCCCCCTCCAGGTGACTGCACGGTGAGACGATGTCCACACTAGTGGTCCAGGAACGGCATCTCTGGCCGAGATGAAGGAAGTTGACAAAGTCTCCTTTCTTGACTCCCCCATCTCCCAGGCCGGCCTCTTTGGCGACACTATCGAGAAATTTGCTCAGCAGTTCTCCGCAATACAGAAGCAGATGGAGGCGATCAAACACATCCTGCCCTGGCGGGATGCTGTTATTGCCACCACCGGCCTGCCTGGGGCTGTTCCCCTGCCTACTAGTCTCCAAGGGCATCCCCCTGCGCTGTCTACATCTGCTCCGGTGCGGCCACAGCAGCAGCCTTCACCCAGGTCGCAACGTTGAGTTTCCCACAAGGCGACGCAGCCTGTGAGATGAAGGGAGCAGCTCTTCAGGAGACGGTGGGCGCACTGTCAAGCGGGTATGAGGCCCCAGTGCAACTTCTAACGCACCCTCAAAGGCAGCTGAGATATAGCACCTCTAAATGAACCAACAATGCAATGGCTATTCTAACTGTATTGTCATATCTGACAAATTCATCGGTCCATAACTTCAAAATGCTACAGTAAAAATGTCTGAAATTGTGCATGATGATAGTCAAGCACACTGGGTATAAAGCATCAGTGAAACGCCCCCAAATGGGCCAACAATATGATGGCTCTTCTAACTGTATTGTCAGATTGGGTCCATAATTTCAAAATGCTACAGTAACCTACAATGCATGCAATGGCTCTTTCAAGTCAATTAAATGTAATTCATACATTCATTTGTATTATGCTTTTCATACTACATATCATTTCAAAGCAGCTTTACAGAAAATGCATGTTTACAAAACCACAATATCATTTTATGAGATGATATCAGAAATTCAATTTTTAAGATAGTACAAATTATAGTATTTACAAATATTATATATGCATTTAAGCTAAATTAGTGTGCTTTTTAAAGCAATGATAACATGATCTTTTGTATAATCATCCATGTGTGATGTTCTGGAGTCCTTGCAGTCCTGTAGGTGCCATCTATTTGAAGGTGTCGGGTCATCTGAAGTCTTCATACGAGATGTCAAGCTGGAGATGACAATCTGTATTTACCTCGTGATATTAAAATTTTTAATAATTGTTTTAATAATTTTTTTATTCAATTTATTTATTAATGCATTCAAATTATGGCATGTGCAATAATTAAAGAATGATGTTTTTATATTTTTTACAGTCATTTTCACCGAAATGTCGACGTGTTATTTACCTATTAACGACCTTTAATAGTTTAATTTTCTTTTCTGAAAATAGACACAATAGTAACAGGATCCCTAAAAAAGTGTGAATAAGAGAAAAACCACATGGTCCCTAAATTGAGCTGATGACATACAACAATTAAAGAATACTGTAATGTGCCTTTATATGTTAACAGTCAATTTTTGCTGATACATCAGTGTTATTTGCATTTAAAAATAGTGTATTATTCTTTTATTCTGAAAATAGACACAAAAGCAACACAATCAATCCCTTAAAAAACGTGAAACAAGAGAAAAACCGCACGGTCCCTAAGTTAAGAGTGAGCTAACAAACGCGGAAGTTCACGTCTTTTAAGGTGGAACGGATAGCGTCAATAAGAAGCTGCGAATAAGAAGCTGGATTCAGCCTCCTTGCTTTATTTAGTGTACACGGACGGGACCTATGAATATGTTAATTAGCCCCGCCTCCACTCACTCATGCCAGCTCACAGATTCACTCGGCCAACTTACTGAGGTAAGCTCTGCACAATGGTATGTCTTTGCAACGTCGGACAAATGGTAATTAATATGATTAGCCTTTTGCTTGACTATGTTATCAAACAGCTAATAGTGTGTTGCTTAGGCCTATGTTACACAAACCATGTTACCAGTGGTAGTTTGTGACGTCAGAAACACCAGGGATTTCAAGCCGCGTTTTTGAGACTGTCTTTAAATTAAATTAAATTTGCATATTGTATAGCGCTTTTCACAATACAAATCATTTCAAAGCTTTACAGAAAATGCATGAGTCCACATTACAATTTAGGGAGATCTGTTATCTGAGGTAACTGTCTAAGTTGTATTTCAGAGATGTACTTAGGCCTATACAAAATCACAGTCAGCGAAAAAATTATTAATTTAAACAATGTAGTAACTTAATGCAGAAACAATGAGCTCTTTGAAGTAATGAAATGCTCTTTGTCTGTTAACAAATGATTATGACATTTAGAAAAAAAATTAGCACTGCAGTTTTAAAGAGAAAATACTCAGCAATCGGTGTTGACTTATGAATTTGCACATGGTTTGTATAAAAGCATATTAAAAACACCACACAGACATTTAAACAACATTAAAAATTTAATTATCACCACAGGGGGACTTTAAAAGATGCGTAGGCATGCGACCTATTTACATTATTCCAACAACCAAATTAAGCCTTAAAGGACAACTCCGGCGTAAAATGAACCTCGGGTGTAATAACACATTGGTACAGACTAAATCGTTCCCTGAGATTTGTTTTCATGATAATCGAATATAAAGAGTTTTATCTCTAAAAACAGTTAAGCTTATAACGCTAGTATATTGGGCATCGAGTAAGCAAAAAGAGATCGCTAGTTAATACCATTAACAAGGCTCAAATTAGCCCCATAACACGGCAGCATAATGAGTGTCCTTACATGCAAACCGAAGCATTGAGAACTTTGTAAGTGTATAGACAGTTTAATAAGAAGATACTTTACACAGACAGTACAGTTAGCGCATACAGACAGCAGCCATCTTGGAAAGCAGCCTCGATCAATCGAACCACGAAGGTGAGCGAACAGTACGTGTAGATATTGAAGATAAGATAAATTATATTTATTTTTTTATTTTCTCTGTTGCGTTCAGTGCTTCTCTTATGCGCTCAGTGCTTTCTTCCGGAAACAACGGACCATATGAGATTCCAAGTCACAGTTCAGCTCACGTATCACCGTGTTCGTGGTTTGACTGATCGAGGCTGTTTTCCAAGATGGCTGCTGTCTGTATGCGCTAACTGTACTGTCTGTGTAAAGTATCTTCTTATTAAACTGTCTATACACTTACAAAGTTCTCAATGCTTCGGTTTGCATGTAAGGACACTCATTATGCTGCCGTGTTAGTGTGGGGCTAATTTGAGCCTTGTTAATGGTATTAACTAGCGATCTCTTTTTGTTTACTCGATGCCCAATATACTAGCGTTATAAGCTTAACTGTTTTTAGAGATAAAACTCTTTACATTCGATTATCATGAAAACAAATCTCAGGGAACGATTTAGTCTGTACCAATGTGTCATTACACCCGAGGTTCATTTTGCACCGGAGTTGTCCTTTAACTATGCCATGCAGTTTCAGAAAACGGCTTCACAAATAACAGAAGTGCATCAAAGTTTGTATAGCCTATTTTATTGTCATGTGTTGAAAACGCGAATTGGTCAAATCCAATAGGTCATTGCCAAAACGTGGCATTGGACCAATTTGTAGCAGGATTTCTTTAAAGGTGAACTAAGTAACTTTTTTACCTTAACCGAACAGCTTTGGAGTCATTGCAATGTTTATATTACTGATTTCGTGTTGAATGGTGGTCATCTCGCACCCCCCTGGTGCCTGTGACCCGCAAAACCACCCTTGCAACTTTGGGCCGGCGGGCCGCCGGCCTCAGTGTTGGGAAGTATCGTGTGATATCAGGTCTCGCGAGGTAACGAATTGCTTTATGGCAAAAAACAGATCTGATAAAATTCTGATAAAATGAGCATCAAACAGAAATAACCCGGCGCCATATACATGTGGTGTTCGAGGCGCACATACAATACAGACTGCCGACAGTTAAACAGGGCGCGCGCAGCTCTTAAATGGGCCATACCTTATTTCCACTCGTTACAGCGTCCATCCTTCTGAACCGGTACCGGTGTACAGGGGGAGGGGATCCGGCCGTGAGTGCGAGCCATCTCTGTGTGAGTGCTATTTACGACAGTACAAGTGCTCCACAGCGACTCTAGGGGTCGCTGTTTGACAAAAACGGAATTCCTACTTAGTGCTGCTTTAACTTCCTAATACATTTTTATACATTTAACATGGATATAGCAAGTTATTGATAACATTATCGTTATTATACTTAATTTTCTTGAACATATGTACATAGGTCATTTAAATATCTTTCAGTGGTGTATGAGATGGGGGATCCCCAAAATGAGGTGCCCGATCGGATTTGTTAATAAAATACAACAACAATAATCATAAGATATACAATAATTATTTTGAATAATAATAAAGTTTGTATGAATTATACAAAATAAATATAAATAATAAAAATATATATATTAATGATTTTGTACGTTATTTATCCATTAGCAATCTAGGAAGGTTTGACTGATCGCCGAAGAGCTATGGGAGAAGTGTCAGCAGACAGCATTACAGTAGAGATGCTCAGAGAGGCCTGTGGGACGGTGAGATTCAGCCCGCTGGATGTGATCAACACACCAATGATCCCATGGTGCCAAACCACTCTGCCGCTCAAAACATCCGGCGAAATTCACATCAAACTGGAGAACATGCAGAGGACGGGTTGGTTTGTGTCCGTTTGATTTGGTTATGGTAGCATACAGTATAGCATACAAAGTTTTTAAACTTGTCTTTCCTCGTCCCGCAGGTTCTTTTAAAATAAGAGGTGTTGCAAACCAGTTTGCCAGGAGACTCAAAGGGGATAATTTTGTGACCATGTCTGCTGGGAATTATGGGAAGTCTTTTGCGTATGCATGTAAGCATTATGGATCCAAAGGCAAAGTGGTGATGCCAGAAACCGCCCCCATCTCCAGATCTCTGCTGATACAAGTATTCCACTCTTCATTTATACACTTTGCAGATGCACTTCTTTTCTTTATTGAATCTTTAACGAAACAAAACGTGTCAAACATTTGTAGAGTTTGGGAGTTGAGGTTGAAAGAGCGCCAACTACTCGTCTCATGGATGTTGTTAACCGATGTGTTCAAGAGGACGGCATGACTTTCCTACATTCCTATGATGATCCGGACCTTATCGCTGGACATGCCAGGTTGAATACATGTCTGGGATTTAAAGAAATAGGTCGAATCCTGTCTTTATTTACTCACCCTCATGTCGTCCCAAACCTGCATGACTTTCTTTAGTTTTACACAACAGGAGGTATTTTGAGGAATGTTCAATGCTTTTTCCTCTATAGAGAAACTGAATGGTGACTGTGACCAGTGTTGGGGAAAGTTACTTCTAAAAGTAATGAGTTACAAATTACGTTACTCCCTAAAAAGTAACTAATTGTGATACTTTTTATGGTAAGTAATGTGCAATGTTACTTTTGCGTTACTTTTTCCCAGCTTGACTGGGCTTGCCTGTTTGTTTTTTTAATAACAACAGTTGTATTCTTGGCAAATGTAAAGGCACTTTCACACACTAAAAGTCGTTTGAATAAGCCTCAGGCTGAAGTACATGCAAATTCACGGTTGTATGGTAGAGCGCGCAGCTCAAACAAACCTTTCATCTGTGCCGCATTCTGCATTGCAGAAGAATAGGACACAAAAGAAGAAATTTCAGCACTTTTACAACAACAAATGTGGTTTATCTAAAGTCATTTTTGCTTATTGGTAGAGTTGAATTGGATCATCGAAGGTCAGCTGCAAAGACATTGCTTAAGATTAAATACATTTGTGTTATGTATTTATAAGTATATTTGGGTTATTTAACATTTAATTATTTTACTGAATCTGTTTTTGTGCAAGTGTAATGAGTAAATTCATGCTCACATTTAGTCTAGAGAACTACAATAAGCATCATGTTCACACACACACACACACACACACACACACAGCGCCTCTGCCCTTACTCACGATTCTCTCAAGATGGAGACTGGAGAGATGCCAGTCAATAAATGGGAAAACCAAGTAACTTGCGTTACTTATTTGAAAAAGTAATTCAGATATTTTGTAAATTAAAAAAGTAATGTGTTACTTTACTCGTTACTTGAAAAACGTAATCTGATTATGTAACTCATTCTACTTGTAATTCATTATACCCCCAACAGTAATCTGTGACTGCCAAGCTTCAAAAAGAACATTAAAGGTATCATAAATGTAGTCCAAGTTTAATCAGTATTAATGAAACTTGTATGGAAAAGAGCTGTGTGAACCTGTCCACAATCTACTTTTGGGTTGCAAAAACTAGAAAATAATGTCATACAGCTTTGAAAAGTCATCAGAGTTGGTAAATGATGATGGAATTTTAATTTTGCATCAAATAACCCCAAACTCCCCATCATGACGAATTGAACCCATGCATCAATAATGGAATGTATTATAATTGGTTCACTCATGCTAGTGTCTTTTCCAACGATAGCTTAGGTTTTGAGATCCTGGAGGTTGTGCCCTGTCCAGATGTGGTGGTGGTGTGCTGTGGTGGAGGAGGGTTACTTGCTGGTGTGGCAGCTGCCGTCAAACTAACTGGTTGTGAGAACACAAAGATCTATGGAGTGGAACCAGAAGGAGGTAAAAATGCCAATTCGGTTTTTAAAGTGATTTTTGAGAGTCGTGCTCAAGAAATGATGCCATCTAGTGAGGCTGTAGTAGAATTGTAGAGCTCCACAAACAAACAAAACAATGAGCTTATGCTGTGTTCACGCCATGCTGTAATTACCGTAATTACATGATAGCAACCCGTGACCTTCTTATCGGAGTTGTTCCAAGTGCACATTGTTAAACCTTCTTGATTTTCAACAGCGTGTACAATGTACAAGAGCTTCATTGAGAAGAAGCCTATTGGCATGGATGCTAAAAGCATCGCTTCAGGGCTAGCGCCACCATTTGCAGGTATGAAACTTATAATGAAACTTTACGGTAGTGTACTTTCTTATAACTTTACATTATTTAAGATACCTTAACCTCAGGTACCTTGCCGTATGAGCTTTGTCAGAAGCACGTGGAGGACATCGTGCTGGTGACCGACGAGGAGATCAAATCTGCCGTTTCCACGCTTTATAAGGCTGGTCTCGTTGTTGAACCTTCAGGTACTGCGGCGTTCGCTGCCGTCACCAATGACAAAATACCAGACATCAGGGACAAGAGTGTGGTGGTCATTCTCAGCGGAGGAAACATTGGCAAAGACGAGCTTAGCAACTTCCCGGACTAAGCTCAAGTCATTATTTACTCATCATGTCATTTGTGCTAAACTCTTTTTCACAGTGGGCTCCAGAAAATCATTGTATTTTAAAAAAAGCAGTTATACAAAATGTCTCCAGAAAAGTAATAAAATATTTCAGGACATGAGTGAGAAAAATGTGTTGAGTCGATGAATTTTCTTCTAGCCACAATCGCTTGTTTTATGATTAAATACATGAATAATAATTTAAAAGTGCAAAACACTAAAATTGTACAATAACCAATTATTGATATTAATTAGGGCTGCAACAAACGATTATTTTGATAATCGATTAATCTAACGATTATTAGAACGATTAATCGACTAATCGTCGATTATTTCGCAGACTAATCAGTAAGTTTGGAACGATTATTCAGCTTTTCCAATTAGTTAAAACATTGAGTTATACATATTCTAACTATAATATAAAAAAAGAAAATCACTTCAGCTTTTGAAATAGTTGTTTTAATGAACTTTGAGCCAACTAAACAGGTCATTCTCTTTAAGTTTTCAGATTTCGGTCCAACTCAAATCACACACAAATGCTCTCTAAGCATTGTTTAATAGGCCCACTGCTTTTCTTAGAACTGAAACAGAAAAAGGGACATTTACTTCAGGACACAAAGAATGGTAAAATATTAATCTGCAAACAATTATTATAATTATAAAATTACAATCTTTTTTTACATGACAATTGAGCTGACAGAGACGTTCTCATTCCCTTTTAATTTATAGTATGAAAAAGTAACTGCCATGATATTCTTCCTATATCATAGGAAGGATATAACATCTCGTTTTGTAAGTCTTCATGATTATTGAACAAAATACAGGCAAGTGATAAGACTATAATAATACCTAATATACTAATAGTGTTACAATAATAAAAAACAGCCCTGACTCCTAAGCTCGATCAAGCTTTATTCTATACAAAATAAGTCATCACATTACTGTAATTATATTACTATTGATAATATTATTACTATTATTAGTAGTAGTATTGCATTCTCTAATAAAGAGAGATTTACCGCTGGTTAGTAGGCTAAGCTCCAGCTGGAGAACACTAACTTCTCACCGGCTCCTCTTTTGCCGGGATGTTTCCTCTTGCACTCCAACATGCATGTTGTGCTCCCGTGAAAATTGCACACGACAGCATTCTTGATTTGAAGTTTTGTGAAACTTTCCCAAACCTAAACCTTGCTAGTTCGGATTCGTTTGCACTGTCATAATTCGCGCTGTTTTCTCTTCTACCGCAATAGCATTTGTAAGGGCTGCACTACACTCTAGCGCTGCAGCGCCGTAGCGGTCAAATCGCGATATTGCAGGCCCTTACATTAGGTCACGTGAGATCAAACGACTACTCGACAACAAAGATATTTGTCGACAAATTTTTATTGTCGACGTTGTCGACAACATCGACTAATCGTTGCAGCCCTAATATTAATAACTGCAGTGGTCATCATAAAACAAATCTATTATTTTCAAAGCAATAGCATACAATTTTAGGTTTTAAATCACTTCTCCTCTAGTTTCTTTTCTATTTTTAATTATTAGGTTTTTTTTTTTCATTGTAATTTGCTAACTTGCCTAATATGCAAATTGTGTTGTCTAATCTCTTTTTAACATTTGTAACATTATTAATAAACACGACTATGGCATCTTTTTGCATATTTCACATTCTGGAGGTATGAAATAAGTAATGTTTTATCAGAAAACACCTTGATGGAAAGTGAAAATTTGGCTTTTTCATTTAAAGCAAACATGCATATGATATATACATATGCTATTATAAAGGACTCGATTCCTGTTAAATGTACAGTTGATATATCAAGGTATAAATAAAATGTCGTCTCTGTGATGAATTGCTTGTGTAAGTCACTTTAGATAAAAGTATTTGCTAAATACATAAATCATACACTTCCCACTGAGCAAGCGACGTCTGTGGACATACAAAACAGGTTGATATCACGTCCGTCCGTCCAGGCCATAATCTGAACGTCCATTGACATCCAGAATTAGTTGATTAATGACAATGAGAAATTATGTCCAATCTGGCTATAATCTAAACGTCCACTGACAGCCAGAACTAGTTGAGAAAAGACGTTCATACTGGCTATAATCTGGACGTCCGGTGACATCCAGAATTAGTCGATGAATGACTTAAAAAAATATGTCCAATCTGGCCATAATCTAAACGTCCACTGACAGCCAGAACTAGTTGAGAAAAGACGTTCATACTGACTATAATCTGGACGTCCGTTGACATCCAGAAATAGTCCATAAATGACGTGAATAAAGATATCCAATCTGGCCATTATCTTAACGTCCACTGACAGCCAGAACTAGTTGAGAAAAGACGTTCATACTGACTATAATCTGGACGTCCGTTGACATCCAGAAATGGTCCATAAATGACGTGAATAAAGATGTCCAATCTGGCCATTATCTAAACGTCCACTGACAGCCAGAACTAGTTGAGAAAAGACGTTCATACTGACTATAATCTGGACGTCCGTTGACATCCAGAAATGGTCCATAAATGACGTGAATAAAGATGTCCAATCTGGCCATTATCTAAACGTCCACTGACAGCCAGAACTAGTTGAGAAAAGACGTTCATACTGACTATAATCTGGACGTCCGTTGACATCCAGAAATAGTCCATAAATGACGTGAATAAAGATGTCCAATCTGGCCATTATCTAAACGTCCACTGACAGCCAGAACTAGTTGAGAAAAGACGTTCATACTGACTATAATCTGGACGTCCGTTGACATCCAGAAATGGTCCATAAATGACGTGAATAAAGATGTCCAATCTGGCCATTATCTAAACGTCCACTGACAGCCAGAACTAGTTGAGAAAAGACGTTCATACTGACTATAATCTGGACGTCCGTTGACATCCAGAAACAGTCAATAAATTACGTAAATAAAAGATGTCCAATCTGGCCATTATCTAAACGTCCACTGACAGCCAGAACTAGTTCAGAACAGATGTTCATACTGCACTGTAAAAAAAATATCCTAATTTTACAGTAAATAACTTCCTATGTTCATCATTGTGGTTGCGTTCATGTGTGTTCAATTCGTAAATACGATCTTTATGACATGTCTTGAATGCATCAATAGCTCTATTTTAGGGACAATCCTTACAAACAATCATTGCTAAAATACATTACAGACTGTCACAGTGAGAAGATCTTTGTCCTTTATAAATGCTAAAGACCTAACCACTGCAGTCAACACCTTGGAGTATCCATGCTGTTAAATAAAAGTCTGTAGACAAGGGTTAAGGTTAGGGTTAACCCCTTAATTTCTAACCCCCGGTTTCACAGACAGGGTTTAGATATAAAGCCAGGATTAGGCCTTAGTTAAATTTGGGCATTCAATTATAGCTTTTAAAAATGTACCTTAGAAGAAAAAAACATTACTGGTGTGCATCTTGAGACAAAACAATGGCACTGACATAAGATATGTCAGTATAGCCTACAAGTTGCTTTCAGGTAATACAGCTCAAACGTGCATTTTAGTCTGGACTACAGGCTTAAAGGAGAACTCCGGCGCAAAATGAACCTCGGGTGTAATAACACATTGGTACAGACTAAATCGTTCCCTGAGATTTGTTTTCATGATAATCGAATGTAAAGAGTTTTATCTCTAAAAACAGTTTAGCTTATAACGCTAGTATATTGGGCATAGCGTAAGCAAAAAGAGATCGCTAGTTAATACCACCAACAAGGCTCAAATTAGCCCCACACTTACACGGCAGCATAATGAGGGTCCTTACATGCAAACCGAAGCATTGAGAACTTTGTAAGTGTATAGACAGTTTAATAAGAAGATACTTTACACAGACAGTACAGTTAGCGCATACAGACAGGAGCCATCTTGGAAAACAGTCTCGATCAGTCAAACCACGAACACGGTGATACGTGAGCTGAACTGTGACTTGGAATCTCATATGGTCCGTTGTTTCCGGAAGAAAGCACTGAGCGCGTAAGAGAAGCACTTAACGCAACAGAGAAAATAAAAAAATAAATATAATTTATCTTATCTTCAATATCTACACGTACTGTTCGCTCACCCTCGTGGTTCGATTGGTCGAGACTGTTTTCCAAGATGGCTCCTGTCTGTATGCGCTAACTGTACTGTCTGTGTAAAGTATCTTCTTATTAAACTGTCTATACACTTACAAAGTTCTCAATGCTTCAGTTTGCATGTAAGGACCCTCATTATGCTGCCGTGTTAGTGTGGGGCTAATTTGAGCCTTGTTAGTGGTATTAACTAGCGATCTCTTTTTGCTTACTCTATGCCAATATACTAGCGTTATAAGCTAAACTGTTTTTAGAGATAAAACTCTTTATATTCGATTATCATGAAAACAAATCTCAGGGAACGATTTAGTCTGTACCAATGTGTTATTACACCCGACCCGAGGTTCATTTTGCACCGGAGTTCTCCTTTAAGCCTTGCCTGTGAAACCCAGGGTATTATGTTGTAACTTAATTATACCAATGTTAGCAAGTGTTGCGTTGGACAGAGGGATTAACCCTAAACCAACATGTTGTGTAACAGTACCACAAAGCATGTTGACATTTATTAGGCATTAGAGTGTTTCTAAAGGAAAGGTCAAGAATTTGTGAAAGTGCAAAAGGGTCATTATGGGTCACATGAATGTAACTCTAATGTCACCACCATGATACCAATCCATTAGTTTTTCACATACGTCATACAGAATTGTATATGAATGGATATGCAGTGTTTGCTCTGTTTAATTATACTGTTTGCTCTATTAAATTGCTGTTTATCAGAACAGTGATAAATAAATGTTATTATATATGGTATACAAGTTACTGTTTAATCTTTCATTTTTTATCTTTCATTTTTTATCTTTCATTTTTAATCATACACTGCAATGAAAACACATTTAAACAATTGATTAAATATAACAGCCAGCCTACAAATACAACTAAATAGCACGTGTATATTTTTTTCCTATTCTTTCATTTAAAACATTTCATATTGTCCTGTTATTGCAATGTTTTCACACTATTGGCTGTCTCT